CCCAGAACCTTTACACTTTAGTTTGATTTTTTTTTTGCCAGTCCTGAGTCTTGAACTCAGAGCCTGGGCACTGTCCCCGAGCTTCTTTTGTTCAAGGCTAGTGCTCTACCACTGGAGCCACAGTACCACTTTGGCCTTTTCTGTGTATGTGGTACTGAGGAATTGAACCCAGGGCTTCATGCATGCTAGGCAAGCACTCTACCCCAGAGCCACCTTCCCAGCCCCTGATTTTTTTTTGGGGGGGTGGGGATAGGTTCTCTTGATAACCTAGCTTGAGACTCAGATCCTCCTACCTCTACTATGGAGTAGCTGAGACTACAGATGTGCACCACAATACCGGTTCCTGACTTGCTGTTATTGGAAAGCACTCAGACATGGACTGGTGCAGAGGCAGCCCTGAGGGGAGGTGGTTGTCCCTATGCTCGAGCTGCGGTCCCCTCTCCCTTGAGCTTTAACTGTCCTGGCTTTCCTTCTCCCCCCACCCCTTCGGCTTTGCTGTGGTCCACCCTCCTGGGCTACTGGCTCCAGTCAGGAAGTTCTTCGGTTCTCCCCTCCATCCCTCTTGCCATGGTTCTAGGCGAACTCCTTTTTCCTTCTCACCTTCTGAACTAACCCAGAAAAATGAGCGTGCCTGACAGGAATATTTCCTCCCTCCCTTTTCTCCTCACCCCGCCTCTCCTGGGCCCCCAAGTTTCCGATCTGCCATCTGCCTGAATCCTTTTAGGCTCAGCGCCCGAGAACTCTCAGAGCTAAGCTGCAAGGCTGCTGAAGCTGGGGGGCGCAGTACCCATGCCTCCCTCTGGAGGCTCCTGGCCCGTGCCTTCCTCTCGAGCCCCAGTCTCAGTCACTTTCTGAAATTGTTTGTTTGTTTAGTTCTGGGAATGGAAGCCAGGGCCTCTTGTAGGCTGGGCAGGCAGCAAGTGCTCTGCCCAATGCGCCATGCCCCCAGCCATTTTGTTTGTATTTTGGTCTTGCTGAATTGCCACCCCCCCAACCAAACTGGGACTTGAGATCTTCTTGCTTCCACTTCCTGAGTAGTTAGGATTACAGGCATGTGCTACTACACCTGGCTGGGCATGGGTCACTCCTGTTTTCTGTCTGTCTGTCTGTCTGACTGTCTGCCTGCCTGTCTGTCTGTCATCTATTACTCCTTCTGCACCCCTGGCTGATTCTCTGTCCCTCTGCCCTCTCCACCCCTCCTGGGCCTTGTGTTTTCTGTATGCTCCTTCCTAGCACTGGGTCGCCTGGGCACAGGGCCAGCCCTGCGTCTGCACCCCCATTGGGCAAGCAGCACAGGGACACCCCCTTCCTGTCAGTGGGGTGCAGGGGGCTGGCGGGTTGTCACCCTGTGCTGTGGGGAGAGGGCAGGGGTCAGAGGGAGCTGATGCTCTTCCTGCTCCCCTGTGGGTCTGTGCCACAGGGCCAGCGTGGGTGGGGTCTGAGGATACCAACATGGGGGCTCTTCCTAATGCTATGTTTGAGCCTTTCTGGGTGTCAGTTTCCCTATCTGTACTCAGAGCTGCAGGGAAACCATGGGGCCTTGGGAAGGGAAGGGGAAGAAAAGAGCAAAGGCCCTGGGGTCAGTGCACACAGAGCTTGTCCTAGACAGAGCTAAAGAGTGGGTGCGCTTTGTGGTGGGTGTGGTGATCTTGGTGGGGGGGGGACAGCCAGGCTGGGGGGCGTGGCCACACTGACCTATCCTGTGCAGCCTCCCTGAAGGCATGATGTTTACTGCAGTGTCTGAGCTGTGCTGCGACCGAACAGTACTGAGACCAGGCATCACAGTACAGAGGGAGTCCAGGGGTCCAGCCGAAGACAGGCATTATTTGGGTGTGTCCCCGCCGCTGCCAGGCAGGGACTGAGGATGAGGGCTGTCGGTCCTGCTCTGGTGTGGGTCAGCTGGTGGGCATGGCTATGTGGGAGGCGGCAGGGGACTGGGGAGAAGCCTAAGCCAGCAGCAATGGCAGTGCCTTTATCCAGTGTTTGCTGAGCACCGATTATGTGCTGATCACTGCCCCAAACATGCAGCAGAGCCCTGCCCTGGCGGGGAACAAATGAGTACAGAAGAGAACAGTGTTAGGATAAAGAGAAGATTCCAGAAAAGGATATAGGGAGTCATCTGAAGTGGGGTGCTCGGGATGGCCTCAGTGAGAAACAGACATCAAGGCCAAGGTGTGACCAAAGGCAGGAAGAAAGCCTAGCTAAGGAAGAGCATTGTGAACAAGTTCAAAGGTCCTGGGGCCAGCTAAGAAGCCAGGCTTGAAGTCCGCCTGGGACCCTGAGCACAGGAGGGTCTGGCCTAGGCTGCCTGCAGGGGGCAGGGAGGAGGGGTAAAGAGAGGAGTGGGGTGTGCAGGCTTGGGGTGCTGGCCTATCCTGGGGCACCAAAGTGACCTGACTGTCTGTCAAGTTGGGGTGGCAAAGCCCTTCATTAAGTATGTAGCTATCCAACCTCCCAGGTGGTTCCCATACCGCTCCTTTCTCTGTGGAGAAAGCTGGAGCTCAGAAAAACAGTCACTGCCTGAGGCCACCCAGCAAATAAGCAGCAGGTTCAGGATTCAAGTCCAGGCCCCAGCAGTAAATGGGGGGGGTGAGGGAGGGCTGCGTGGGGCTCTGTGCCCACAGGGAATATGCACTTGTTAGCGTGGACTTCAGCGTGTAGCACCTAGGAGGAACTTGGTACATAGTTTTGGCATGGATGGATGATGAGTAGAGAGAGGGGAGGCAGAAGGAAGGAGAAACGGGAGGGGGAAAGGAGACTTGGATGGGTTGAGGTAGGGAGGGATGAATGGAAAGAGGGAGAGATGGGGAATGGGTGGATGGATGAGGAGAGGGAGGGGTAGATGGATGAGAGGGAATGAGATGGATAAGATGGTAGATGGTGGATGGGTAGGTAGATGGTAGAGGAACTGATACAGGCAGAAGAGGTAGTGGAGGTGAAGAAGGGAAGGAGAGAAGGATGGAGGGAGGGAGGGGTAGAGGGAGAGAGATGGGTTGCAGAGATGGATGGACAGAAGGAAGGAGAAATAAACTGATACAATGTGGATGGATAGGTGAATGGATAGAATAAGTGGAGAGAGGGATGACGGAGGAGGATGAAGGGATGGATGGATGGATAGGTGGGTTGATAGAAAGATGGATGGATAATGGATGAATAGATGGATGTGGATGGAGGAAGGAAGGATAGGTGGATGATTGAGGGAGTGATGATGGAAGAGGAAGGAAAGGATGAATGATGAGTGGATGGGTGAGTGGATGGATGGAAGGTTGACAGAAGGAGGAAAGAAAGGATAATGGATGAATGGGTGGGCAGATAGGTAGATGAGCAGAAAGATGGTGGATGGATAGATGGATGGATGGGTGGGTGATAGGTGGATGAATGGGTAGATGGATAGAAGAATGATCTATGGGTGGATGAATAGATGGATGGGTGGATGGATAGAAAGATGGTAGGTGGATGGATGGGTGGATGGGTGGGCAGATAGTAGAAGGACGGAAAGATAGTGGATGAATGGATGGATAAGGTGGATGGATGGGTAGACAGAAGAATAATGGATGGATAGATGGATGGATGGGTGGATGGCTAAGGCGGATGGATGGGTAGACAGACAGAAGAATGACGGATGGATAAATGGCTTGACAGATGGGTGGGTGGATAGATGGATGGATGGACAGAAAGATGGTGGATGGATGAGTAGATAGACAGAAGAACGGTAGATGGGTGGAAGGACAGATGAATGGACAGATGGGTGGATGGACAGGAAGGTGGTGGATGGATGGGTGGGTGGGTACACAGACAGACAAATGGTGGCTGGGGGATGGATGAATGGATGGATTAATCAGATAAAGACCAGTCTGTCTGCCTAGTTTCTAGATCACCAGGAGGCAGGTTTCCGGCTATGGGGTCCAGGGCTGAGGATGCTCTGGGGTAGATTTCTTTGTGGCCCCAGGTGGAGGACAGGGGATGGTAATGTGGGTCCAGCAGGGTGGGGTCAGTGAGGGGCTGGGGGTGGGCGGTGCTGGGTCCCGCTGGAAGTCGGCCTTGGGGGTGAGTGAGGTTCTGGTTCTGCAGCCTTGAGGCGAAGCTGTCGGTGCCTGTGCCCAGAGGCTCTGGCTTGGCACTGCCCAAGCCATCCCCTGCCGCCTCCCCCCTTCCCCGACCTTCCCTGCTGTCCAGAACCAATGGGTTAATTAGATAACGGAGCCTTTGATTAGCAGGGGAGGGGGAGGCCTCCCATGGCAGCGCCGGGGAGGGGGCCAGGAGGAGGGAGGAGAGACGTCCGCCAGCCCTCCCTCCCTCCCTCAGAAGGAGAGAAAGAAGGAGGGAGGGGGCGGGGAGGGAGCAAGCCGAGGCAGCTTGGCTCTGCACTGCCGTGTGACTAGAAATTGTAATCGCGAGGAGAGAGAGAGAGAGAGAGAGAGAGAGAGAGAGAGAGAGAGAAGCAGAGCCCTCGACAGAGACCAAGAGAGACAGATGGACAGACGATGGATGGACTGACAGATGGACGAGAACCTGACTGAGCTAGATCCCCAGCAATAAGAGAGTCACAAAGATAGGCTGGACAGAGGAACTGGTAGAGAAGGATCCGAGGGGCTCCTCAAGAGAGGGGGGCCAGAGACAGAGGGGGAGGACCCCACAGGGGCCAGGGTCTGTGGCCAGAGAGAAAGGAGACTGGTGGGGCGTGGGGCGGGTGAGGCCGGAGGCGGCTGCTGGGGAGGGCGGCTGCCGCCCGCCTGCCCGTGGTGGTGGCCCGGGAGAAAGGGACAAGGAGAAAGGACGGCCTCCCCTGGGGGGGGGGCGCAGGGAGACCGAGAAGCCCCTGCGCCCCCCCTCCCCCATCCCAACTTGGACGGAAGGCACTGGAAGGCTGGGAAGGCCCAGCCTCCCCCGACCCCCCCCCCTCGCCGCGGCTGGCAGCATGTGCAGGGGGGGCCTGGGGCGTCCAGCAAGGCCCAGCAGGAGCCGAGCCACTGGGGTGAGTGAGGGGGCCAAGGACGGCCATGGTGGAGGGTGAGGCAGGGGAGAGGAGAGAGGGGAGGGAGGCCCAGCCGCTGCTGCGGAAGCCGTGGTGGGGGTGCGGGCTGGCAGTGCCGGGCACAGATGCGGGCACAGATGTGCAGGTAGACAGAGCAGCCAGGCCTGCAGGACCCTGGCCTCGAACCCTGGCCCCTGCATGCTAGGTGGAGGTGGTGGCACCCGGGCTAACCCGGGGAACAAAGCCCCACGGCCCAGCCAGACAGGCACAGAGCCAGCCCTCCAGGCAGCCGAGCTCTGCCAGACCCTGGCCTCTCCCCTCTGTCTCGGCTTCTCAATTGCTGTCTCTGTCCATTCCTCTGTCTCTCTCTCTGTCTGTCTCTTTGTCTCAGCCTCAATATCAATCTACCTTGCTGTGTGTCTGCCGCCCCCCCTCTTTGTTTCTGCCTCAGTCTCTCTATGCCTCTTGCTCTCTCTTTCTCTCTCTTTCTTTCTCTCTCTCTCTCTCTGCTTCTGCCCTAATTGCTCTATTCCTCGCTCACTCGCTTGCTCTCTGCGTGTCCTCGCTGTCTGGCTGGCGGCACAGCTCTGGCACATCTGTCTTTATCTGGGTTGAAGGCTGAGGAGCTGTAGAGGGGAGCGGATGTATGTGGGGGGGGGTCTGTACTCATGGGCTGCCCCCACCCCCAGGGGGCTCTTGGAACTGTGTCAGGGGTTCATTTGTGTGCACTTGGGGGTGCCAAGTGGAAGACAGAGTCCCGAGGCAGGCCTCCTCCCCTTCCCTCCCTCCCCCTGCACACACCTGGCCAGCTGTGCCCTTGGCCCAGCCAGCGTCCTGGGGCCGCGTGTGCTGGTGCTGGGCTCGGCAGCTGCCCGCCCGCCCGTGGTGTGGGGTTGGTGCATAGCACAGCTCGCTTACTCCTCCCCGCGTGGCACGGCTGCCATTTCTGCCCTCCCCTCTCCACTCCTGTGTGGAGGGGGGGGAGACACATGGAGATGACCCCCCGCGGCTTTTCTGAGGTCCACACTCCCCCTCCCCACACCGGGCCCCGCCCCCGCCCCCTCCCCCAGCTCCGTCCTGCGGCAGCTGTTGGCACCGACCCCACCAGGGAGGCTGGCTGCGGGGAGCACCTGCAGGCGCAGGGCCTCCTCCCCACCCCGCCTCACCCCTGCCTCAGCCCCAGCTGCACCTGTTCACACCTTTGGCCCAGCGGGCCTCATCCTCCCTCAGGCCCACCCCACCTGCACAGTGTAAGCACAGCACTGTGCGGCCCACCTGTGGGGGGAGGGGCTGGGGGGGCATGTGGCCAGCCTGGAAGCCAGTCCCAGGGAGGAGAGAGCAGGGGACCCGGAGCCCAGGAGCCACCCCCAGGGGATCCCCGTAGGTGCTGGCCACTGTGGGAGCTAGGTCCTCACTTGGGATGCCAGGCTTGTACCTCCCTCTGGCTGTGCCTTTGTTCCCTGTGTGTGTGTGTGTGTGTGTGTGTGTGTGTGTGTGTGTGTGTGTGTGTGTCCCACATCTCTACCAATCTACCTTGTGAAGACCTAAGTTTTAAACCTGGCTGGCTGCTCCACTTAACTAACGGAGTGACCTTGGGCGGGAACTTCCTCTCCCCAGCCTCAGTGTTCCTTTCTGCACAGTGGGGTGGGTGGAAGGTCTGCCCCAGCCGGGCAGGGTGGCACATGCCCTAGTCCCAGTCAGCTCCGGAGGGGTGGGAAACCCTGCGGAGACCCTCATCTAGCTCAGAGGAAACAGATTGTGTTGGTTCCTAGTCTAAGTAATTTTTTTAAGGAATTTTCAATCACTGTGTTTAAAAAAAAAAAACAAAACCACACACTTTTTTTTTTTTAAGCCCAAAGGGCTGACTTCCAGGGAACTCTGGAAAACATTAGAGACCCCATCTGTCCCAAACACAGACAAACCAGTAAACACCACCCAAACCCCACGGGGCTTGGGACTGGCCCAGGAAACTCAGGACTCTGGGTCTCCCTTGTGTGGAAGGGGTGAGCTGGAGATGGTCCTGGGCTGAGGGTGTGGAGGGGTGATGGGCTGGGGGGGGGTAGAGCCTCCTCCTCTGGGCTGGATGGGGGAGTGGAGGTCACCACCTGGGGGAGCTGGGCAGGGTGGGGTGAAGGGCTGGGGGATGGAGCCCCCTCCCCTGGGAGGGGTGGGGAGTTGGAGGGGAGGGGTGATGGGCTGGGGGG